ATTTCAAATAATTCACACAAATAAAAAGTTTTGTGAATACTGCAAGAAAAATAAGATGATGTCTCTATCGTTGCCTATAATGATTATTGATATGTATTATTTTCTTTTTGAATTAAATATTTATTTAGAATAAAAATTTTTTATAGCGGCAATGATCTTGTTGTAAATAAATCACTTTTTCTTGCCGCTGCTGCCCCAAAATCCTTGACAGGACAACGTATGCTTTTACTCGGATAATTTTATCTGTGTATTATACATGTCATGAATAAGACACCGAACCAATCGAAATTTTTTGGAGGGAGAAGCCAGTACTTGCTTGATTGCAACTTGTAACAATTGTGTGTACTAAAATCTAGTGACCATATATTACAATATTGGTTTGCTTTTAAAGTTTTTTTCGGCGTATGAATTTAAGTCTATTTCTTAACAATCGTTTAGAATATTATTTTGTTTGTGAAATCTTTTTTGAAAAAAATGAAAGTTGTATTTACTCAAGTTTTCGTGCTCATATCATTTACATATGTTCTGGGGCAAGCACAAAGTAAGTTAGAAAAATAGGATTTAAGTTACTCTTTAACCTTCAGTAATATTTGTATGCGATAGTACAAAAATAATTAAATTGTTTATTCCTAAAGTCTATTTTAATGATTTTGAAGAGACTTTTCCCTTTTTTCCGAGTATGTTTTAGGTTCGCCCCCAAATATCAGAACAAGAAAAATAAGATCTAAGTTACTCTTTAACCTTCAACAATATTTGTATGCAATAGTACAAAAATAATTAAATTTTTTATTCCTAAAGTCTATTTTAATGATTTTGAAAAGATTTTTCCTTTTTTTCCGAGTATGCCCCCTAAAAATCAGACCCCGAAACGTATAATTACAATTAAAAAATGTTTTTTTTTGTGATGTAACTGCAATTTTACGGTTTTAGGATTTTTTGCTTTGCTTCTGCTATAATCCATTGCTTCTTGTAAAATTAATGATTCTAGATCAATAGAGATTATCCTTAGGTCTTGATCTACTTGCGAGTGTCAAAATAAACGCACAAACGGCTGTATCTTTTGATTGCGTTGAGTTAGAAGTTTGATATTTTTACAAATAAGGGATTACAGACCTCATTATTTATTTTAATTTCAATTTGATACCTCTACGCGTTCCTGTGAAAAAAGTCTTGATGGACAGACAGACGAACAACGGAGTAATCTTATAAAGGTTCCTGTCTTTCTTTTAGGGTAAAGAACCCTAAAGAAGACAAAAAATTTTAGTCTTGTACACGCGGAGAAAACTGAATTTTTATGATAAGGCAAAAATTATAGTTTTCGATTGTAAATGAAAGAATTTGTCGTAAAAATTATAGAATTTGTTAGGTCTCAATTTTGATATGTTTTTTAAAAATTATTTCGAGTTTCTTAATTATTACAATTTAATTTGTAATATCAACTAA